TCATCTCTCATCTCCTCAAGGGTACCCAGCAGACCAGCTTTGAAGAACACCTGTGGTGTTAAGTCAGCAGACTTAGTTATTTGTCCACATGGATACAACTGGATAAATTCATAATGAAAGTTCAGACTGTTATTGTTAGACATGTACCTTTGTGTGTCCAAACTTGTACTGAGTGTGGTCCACATCAATGGAGCCCAACAGCTTCTCTGAAGCTTTCTTGTTGTCAATGAACTGTCCCTCAGGGATGACACTGGCGTTCAATACTTTGTATCTACAGGAAAAAATTACATTCTTTATCAAATACAGTAACTCTTTGTCTGGTGTCCTCCATCACAGTTCTTAAAGTAAAATCATGGGAATCTGTAATGCATAAACTGACAATCATGGTCACCTCTGCTTGAAGTCACCGTAGAGGATTCTGCTGGGGAAGCCCTTTCTGCAGATTCTGATGCCCTCCAGCACACCGTTACACCTCAGCTGGTGGATGACCAAGAAGTTCTCCATAAGACCTGAGAGTTGAAAATTCATAGGTTAAGGTACAGTATTCCTTTGTATTCCCGTGTAGCATTCTGTGCAATAGTAATGCTGTGGCCTTCATACCTGGGGTCTTTGATTCATTGGGAATCAGGCAACGGACAAAGTGAGGACGAGTGCTCCTCAAGTTGGTCATCAGCTTGCCCAAGTTCTCCTGTGGATCAGCATCATGAGGTATTTGGTCAATATGACTTCAATATGAGGTTTTCAAATGTTTCTCCAAAAATATGACACTATACGTACTCTGAAAAGGGCGGACACAGTCTGGAAGGAACCACCCTTCTTCTTGCCACCACCCTTCTTGCCACCACCTGCCTCTGCTGCTCAAAATATTGAAAATGAATGTGTTATCACCACAGAGCAGCACAGTGTAGACATTTGTTTGCAGAATCCATATGATAGTTTTACTAGAATGTTGTACAGCATTCTTATGTCTCTGTTCATTCTGATATCTTACCCTCAGCTGAGGCATGAGTAGCATACAGTAAGACCAGCAGTTTGTTTGCAGACTTCTGGTACAGTTGAACAACTGAGTCGTTCAGTGGGTCCTTGTTCTTGTCCAGCCAGCCACTGATATTGTAGTCCACTGTACCAGCATAGTGAACCAGGGAGAAGTGAGCCTCAGCCTTGCCCTTTCCAGGCTTTGGCTTCTCAAAGGCCTTGGTCTTGCCAAGATGCTGATCATGCAGCTTGTTCTTGAAAGTTGTGTCAGAGGCCTTGGGGAACATGCACTCCTCTTCAAGGATGGAGAAGATGCCCATTGGCTGAGAAGAATTTACATCTCATGTTAAAAGTTAATCAGCACAAGCAACCATTTTAGCATGAATTAAGAATTTTCTTCTTTACATACCTTCTCAATAAGCTCAATGCAAGCAGCCAAGTCCATACCAAAGTCAATGAACTCCCAATCAATGCCTTCTTTCTTGTACTCCTCTTGCTCCAGGACAAACATGGTGTGGTTGAAGAACTGTTGCAGTTTCTCATTGGTGAAGTTGATGCAGAGTTGCTCCAAGCTGTTGAACTGTAATTACAGAAAGATGTTTAATATCATGGTGAAAGAGTTTTGATTTTTAAACTGGCTCAGAGATTTTTCAACTGCTCACATCAAAGATCTCAAATCCAGCGATATCCAACACTCCAATGAAGAATTGTCTTGGCTGCTTTGTGTCCAGCATCTCATTGATACGGATGACCATCCACAAGAACATTTTCTCATAGACAGACTTGCACAGAGCGCTGACAGAATTGTTGACCTAGAGGATGAGATTTTAGCACTGAAATTATTAGGGGGATATGTTTACATTAAAATAAAATTACTTCCAAAAGTCGTTGGGGGTCAATCTTTGTTGTCATTACCTGAGGGACGGTCTGACCTTTGGTGACCATCTCATTGCCGACCTTGACTCTTGGGTAGCACAGAGCTTTCAGCATATCGGCTGAGTTCAGACCCAGGAGGTAGGCGATTTTATCAGCCACTGAGGCAAAGACAGAAAATNAATGTGAGTGTGCTTGGTTGTCTGTCTCTAAGTGTAGCCCTGCGATAGAACTGTCTAGGGTGTTCCTTGCCTTGACCCTAAGTCGGCTGGGATAGACTCCAGCCCCCCCGCGACCCTTGTGAGGATTAAGCGGTGTACAGATAATGGATGGATGTTCATTTGTGATTGTAAAAAAAATGCTATGTGTGATTTTATCTGCTGTATGAAATATAACAACTATACGAACAATCAAATATACCAAATAAAATATATATATTTATGATAAATTATATTTTTATATTTTTTATGATAAGATATTTCATTCTTTCTTTGATATCATCAGCTAATGGTCTGAGGGTAATTCATCTTAACATTGCCATTGAGGCACATGAGTCCTGGGTCATTAATGGACCATTAGCCATGTGAGCTGGAGTGACTATACATTCTGTAACTCACATTAGTCAGTGATAACTGAAGAAGGCTCATGAATGAGAGGTGAAACGTCATCAAGAACCTAGAACAGAAATCCAGTTGATTTTTACTGAAGCTCCTATGATTACCCCAGTTTATTGTTGTGCTGTTTGGAGCTTTCAGTCCTTGGCTTTGTATAGCATTTTAGTCGCGGTGTGTGTGGGTTAGTCCTGGTGTTTGGTAAGTGTGCTTATCCTTGATTCTCTGTAGACTTTCCTAGTCTTGTGTTACTTGATTCTGGTTCGTTCCTCAACAAACTCAGCATAACAAGATTTAGGCTGACTTTAGCAACTCCAGAATATTGTCCTTCACAGGCTTCATATGTCAGTCTGCCCTCCTAGTGTGTAACCCATGGTCCCTTTCCTTGTGCTCCTGAGATGTCACTATTTCTCCCCTCTCCCCCTGTAGCTCCCTGTTGACTTCCTTCTCCTTCCCGTACCTTAATCCATTTTAAATATATCTCATTGTATCAATAAAGCATTGCCCTCTTTCAATCTGGCCTGCTATGTTCTGTCTGTATCTAGGTCTCTGTATTTCCTGTGACACTATTTCATGAGCCTCATTTCATATTTGCTATCATTCCTATTCAAAACAGTCCCTGGTCCGGGGAATATCTTCATATTTCCTCAGACACCTGCAACATCCCTTTGTTTGTCCCCAAAATTTTCAAAGAAGTTGGACGCCAGTCATTCCAAACCAAGCTCTTTCTGATGCAAATAATCTTCCTCTGTCTTTAAGATCTGTTACCTCTTCTTGTTGCTTCAGGTCGTCTTTATTTTCTCATCTTAACACAACCTGTTCATGCTTTTAATTTGGATGTACTCTCAATTTTTAAGTTGATTAGTTCTTCAAATAATTCAAACTCAAATTACTTCACATGCTGATGTATTTGTTGTATTCTGAGTTTTTGTAATACACTTGTTTTCCATCAGTAGCTACAGCATAAGGTTGGGGAAGTAGGCAAAGGTGAGGGTGAGTGAGCAGTTTGTATTGGTGTATCTGTAGTGTTTGCTGTATAATATTGTGTTTGTATGTGTTTTATAGTTGTTAGGATCCATTAAACATTAGATGGTACATCTCAAGGGGCTGTTCTTTCAAAATAATTCAAAATATCGTTTAGTACCAGTTGCAAATCAATTGAGTATGGATCTGACGCGATGCGTCTAACTCCTCAATAACTTGTTTACCTGAATAAGCTCCACTCACTGTAGCTGCTGTATTGCGTTGTACTCTAAGTGCTCTATTTTGCATCGGCATTTAGAGGAAATACACAGTAAATGATAGACAGCAATATTTTTTATTGAAATGTTGCAGTGTAAACAAAATTCAACAGATAATTCATATTGTATGAACTCTGTTGAACATCTTCATGTTGTTTGGATCTTCTATTCAGCAGACTCGCCCTGCAAAAAAGAGAGGAAATTATGTTGAGCTTTAGAATTATATTTGCGATTTTTATTTATCTTTAAGGTTAATTTAAAGACACTTTCAACCTGCATGCAGTTGTTGCTATAGACTTCTACAAGATATTCTACATGTATTTAAATATGTGAACTGTTACCTTTCCAGTATCACGGCTCTTGGCTCTCAGCTTGTTGACCTGGGACTCAGCGATGTCAGCGCGCTCCTGAGCTTCCTCCAGCTCATGCTGAACCTTTCTGAGCCTGGACATGTGGGTGTTGGCCTGCTCCTCCTGTGAAGGATGCAGGGTTATACTGACACAGTTGCGAGACAAGACTGAATTCATTAAAAATAATATGTCACAGAAGGCGTCTAACTTACAGCCTCCTCAGCTTGTCTCTTGTAACCCTTCACTTTGAGCTGAAGCTTGTCCACCAGATCCTGAAGTCTGTTCACATTCTTCTTGTCCTCCTCAGTCTACACACATAATTATTAGGTTATGGAGAGTTAAAACAGGATCAAGGACTTATTATGGTAGTTTGTAATGAAAGTACAGTTACCTGGTAGGTCAGCTCCTTCACTCTCCTCTCATATTTGCGCACTCCTTTGACAGCATCAGCTCCACGTCTCTGCTCAGCTTCAACTTCAGATTCAAGCTCGCGCACCTGTAAGGTGAGGATAAATGGTCTAAATTTTGTATAAGGATTTGAATACAGACAAAAGAAAAGCAGGGTTTAAAAGATACACTTAGTATTATTTTTGTGTCTTTTAGGATTTATACAGAGTTCATACCCTGGACTCCAGTTTCTGGAGCTGCTTCTTGCCACCCTTCATGGCCAGGTTCTCAGCCTCATCCAGACGGTGCTGCAGGTCCTTGACTGTGACCTCCAGGTTCTTCTTCATCCTCTCCAGGTGAGCGCTGGTGTCCTGCTCCTTCTTCAGCTCCTCAGCCATCATGGCAGCCTGAAATGTTTAAATGTTGTCTGTGTAATTCATGATCTATAATAGACTTGACAGTATCACTACATGAAAGTAGCCATAGGGATAAATACACAGACGAGTTATAGATATAATCTCACATCAGTGATAGCCTTTTTGGCTTTGTCTTCAGCATTTCTTGATTCCTGAACAGCATCATCCACCTCACCCTGGACCTGGACAAGGTCAGACTCCAGCTTCTTCTTGGTGTTCAGAAGGCTGGTGTTCTGAATGTTAAAGAGAGTCACCATCATTTCAATAATTCTTTGTCATGTAAAAAAAAAAAAAAAAGAAGAAGAAGAAGAAGAAAAAAACCATCTGTATCTTCATTAGATGGGAAAGCATTTTTTTGAAAACAAACAAAATCCAACCTGAGAGTGAAGCAGGCCGACACGCTCACTAGCATCAACCAGCTCCTGCTCAGCCACTTTGCGTCCTCTCTCAGTCTGTTCCAGAGCAGCTCTCAGCTCCTCAATCTCAGCCACCATCAGACCATTTCTGCGCTCCACCATGGCAACCTGTTCCTTCATGTCTTCCTGTCCTCTGACGGCATCATCAAGGTGCAGTTGGGCATCCTGGTAATGAAAAAAGAGTTGATCCTAATTTCTTTACTCTGAAACATTTTTTGTTGTAAATTCAGCAATCATACAAAAGTCACCTTGAGCTGTCCCTGAACGTTCCTCAGTTGTTTCTGGGCCTCAGCAGCCTGCCTGTTGGCATGGCTCAGCTGAATCTCCATCTCATTCAGGTCTCCCTCCATCTTCTTCTTGACTCTCAGGGCATCATTCCTGCTCCTGACNACTGATCTTCAACCCTACAATACCTGAACAATGTGAATTGTATTATTTTATCAATTACCCTCAGTGCCATCAGGCTCAGCCTGCTCCTCTCGCTGCTTCTGCTTGAATTTCATGTTGCCATGATGCATCACAGCACCAGTCAGCTTGTAGATGTTGACTTTCTCCTCAGCATTGAAGCCCAAGATGTCAATAGCAGTCTGTAATGACAATGAAGTAAAAGTATTCGTGTGTGAAAGTTTTCCTCCAGTTGTATTATTCATACTATCTGTTGAACTGAATCACTGACTTACATCTGTTGCTATGAACTCCTCCACATCATTGATACTCTTGACAGTGATTTCACCCTGGCTGATCATTGGATAGTCATAGGGGTTGGTGGTGATCAGGAGAGCCTCTGGAAGAAGTCAAACAAAATCCATGACATTTTCTTGTGATATATTTTTTAATTTTCTGAAACGTTTAGGCTCAACTTGTCTGGTTACATACCCAGGAGCTCAGGCTTGTGTCCAGTCATCAGCTGATAGAAGATATGGTAGCTCCTCTCAGCAGACAACTGGAAGGTGACACGGGACTTCTCCAGCAGATCTAAGAGGGAAAATTCAACTCAAAACTCCGTGTTTGCTGTGTTACATTTTAAAAGATTGGTTCATAAACCACAAGAACTAGACCAAATTTCCATCCAGATCATTGTGTACTCACACTATGGCTGGAACTTACATGTTTCAATATCAGCTGAGGCCAGCTTTCCAGTAGAACCAAAGTGGATTCTGATGAATTTACCCTGGAGAGTCATTTTATATTTGGAATCAGTTTTTGTAATTTTGCAACAACAACAAAAAGGCTGAAGATATTGTGTGTTTCACTTACAAAACGAGAGGAGTTGTCATTCCTCACAGTCTTGGCATTACCATAGGCCTCCAGCAGAGGGTTGGCCGCAACAATTTGGTCCTCAAGGGAGCCCTGCAAGAGGAGGTTTGAATTATATGAGCTGTACGTGCATGTAAACCTTTTTTGGGCAACACCTTTCTTCTCAAAAAGACAACTTTACCTGCATCTTGCCAGCTGTTGCCTCAGCCTTCTTAGCACCAAGAGCTGCAATTGTTGCAAAGTACTGGATGACACGCTTGGTGTTGACAGTCTTTCCAGCACCAGATTCTCCGCTGGGGTATAAGAGACATATTGTGAAGGTTCAGCTTCATCATTATGAAGTTTCTAAATGTTTAGCATACAAGTCCGTGTTATACTCACGTAATCAGGACAGACTGGTTCTCACGATCTATAATACAAAGATACATGCTTCATATGAGTTCCATTGTCATTATTCCTTCAATAGTCTTATTTTTAGTAAACTGCTTTGTACTTAATAGTACTAAAACATGTCTTCAAGGAAATTTCTTCCACTTTACTTTTATAAACCTTAATAGTAACCGATCTTACCAGTGAGCATGAACTGATCTACAATTCAAAATGACATGCTCTACATGAGTTCTGTTTCCATTTAATACGCTTACATCTAAATTTAAAATGTATATTAAGGCTTCTTCTAGCACTTGTAACCTTGGTCTTACCAGTGAGCATGAACTGATAGGCATTGTCAGAGATGGAGAAGATGTGGGGTGGAGCCTCAATCCTCTTCTTGCCTCTGTATGCTGCTACACATACAGCATCGTACACAGGAAGCCACTTGTAGGGATTCACGACGACGCAGAACAACCCAGAGTAGGTCTGTCATAGTAGAGAGCAAATAATATAAATAAGTCATAATTCAACCCTATAAAGATCTACATGATTTTAATGTCACAGTCACAATCAACCAAAGTAAAAACTTACGTAGATCATCCATGATGCATAACGCTCTTTGAGGTTATACAACACAGATGGCTCATTGAGGTGGGTCATCATGGCCATGTCCTCCATCTTATCGAACTTTGGAGGGTTCCTGGGATGGATTTCATCCTCTTTTACAGTGACAGACTGAATAGAAGATGCAGACAGATTTAGTCTTACAAGGATCAGATAAAAAAAACATTTTTTATTAAGTATTTCAAATCATTCACCTACCTTTCCTCCATCTGTGTCAACCGTGGCTTTGCCCCCGTCCTTTTTGACCAGTTTACCCTTGACATACATCTCGTCAGTATCAACGACAAAGAAAGCTGTCTTGGCATCAAATGGAGCAGTCTGGGCCTCAATCCTCTCCCTCTCTGGCTTGCGGAGGTAAACGGCCGCCGCGCCATACTGCTCCATCTCCGCGTCTGTGCTCATGATGGCACTTTAGTGGACACTGAAAATGTGACAAGTTCACACATAAATCAGAAATTTATCGCAGAACCTACAATTCACGAATGACTATCAACTTTTGCTTTCCAGAATTTACCTCTGATGTCGCAAAACAAAATTCTTTGGTATCCTTTGTATGTCAGGGTGCTAGAAAATAAAGTTTAATGTAGATCAACACAAGTTTTTCATTGTTTTGTAATTATACCAAATATTTTAAAAATATGTTAAACAGAAAAAAAAAGAAATATGAAAACTGTCTAAGTTCAGGAAAGTATTTGAAAAGTAAAACACTGAATCATGCGGCTTATTAAATAGCAATATTATGGAATCTTAATGTAACAGACACATAGTGTAGGGACAGTCCTGCACGTACCTGCCTTAGATGCCTGTCAGTTAAAGCAAACGGTCAGAGCTGCTGGTTTTATACATAACAGCTCTGCCTCCTCAGCAAATGCACCCTACTCAGTTTGGTCAGGAATGTTTGACACCTCATTGCTTGATATTGATATGGTCATGGATAAACTAACAATCATGCTTCACTTTTACATATAAAATAAACATTTTACATATATGTAATAAAAATGCAAATATGTTTTCAGTATTTGCATTTTGTATAGTTAATATTAAAAGGTAGTCTGTGGAAAGTAGTAGTGTTTTCTATATATTTTATTATATATCATATAGATATGTTCTATATATCTGCCATAACAACAGAATTTCCCTTTGGGGATCAATAAAGTAATTATATTCTGTATTCTATTTTGTTATTCATGTATTAATTTAAATAAAGTATTACAAAATCAACACAGTATCAAATTCATTATATTTGTTTTATATTAATATCAACAATGTTTATAAATGACTCAAATTCCTGTGTTGTAACAGAACATAAATATGTCATAAACCAACACAATCTTGACAATTAACATCCTTTGAGTCTTTCTTGTAAAAAGCATGATGACAGATTAGATGACAGCTTATTTACTGTGAAACTTGATTGAGCTTGTAAATGGTGAGTGTTGTAGTAATGTCCACAGAATGTCCACTGGTAAATAGCAAAAGTGCACTGAATCGTTTGTGGTTTATTTGTTCCAGTAAATCTAGAGAGTGAAATCATTTAAAGCTGACACAGTTGATAGCAGGGATATGTGTGTCCTATTAATTAATATCACAGCCAGTAGCCAGTAATGAGTTTTAAATTTGGAGAGGTCCAGAGATGCCTTTGGTGTATAGTTACAGGCCATGCAAATCTCAGATATCTGAAATAAAATTGGCTGATGCACTTTCCATTAACATTTGATAAGTGTTAGAATATCTCTTGGAAACAGACTTAAGAAGGATTGCCAACTCAGATAATTTAACACCATTCATGCTTTTTTATTTTTTTTCCGGAATGAAAAAAGATGCAGTTTATGATTTTAATTACCGACATACTGAGCAAGTGGCAGACAAATGTTTAAATGGAGGAAAAGTCTGGGATCATATCCAGGATCAACTTTCAATTCCAAGTTTTGCATGGACTTGGCTTATTATTTGTCATCTTATCAGCAGATCATGGGGTATTACCATGGTCAAAAATAAATCCAGGGAGGGAGCAATGATTCGTGTTTGACATAGATGGAAAGATATATTTATAGGACACATTTAGATATGTTGTTAACACATGTCCAATGTTTAGACAGATTCATTATCTCGAATCTTCTTTTTTTCCCCCCCAAAGGTATTTCAATAGAAAGTATAATGTCTGTACAGATACGGTAAGGCCATTGCCAGCCATCAAGGACAAATCTTTTGCATGTTTTCTATAGTTCAGCTGAGGTTGGGTGGAATTGCTAGAAAAGTGCAGAGCAAACAAACTGCAAAGGAGCACGGCAACCAAACCAGGAACATGATTCACTTGCTTCATTTGCTTTAGCCCTGGTATTACAGAAGAGTACCATACAGATAAAGTAGTCTAGTGCTTTGCAAGATGTGCAGAATTAAGGGTTTCCCTTTAGTTAAAGTTGCTGCATTCCTGAAATAATGGGAACAATGAAGGCTCTACATCCTGTTTCTATAAGAATAGATAGAATCCTTTTTGTTTTTAGTTTTTACCAGAGAAAACATCCCAAAGTTCACTCAGTGAAAATACAAAATACAAAGTCTCTCTGTCCCCATCATCAGACCAGAGTGCGATTTGAAAACTAGGGTGGCCGAAGGGGGGCAAATGACGTGCATATACATAAACGAGCTGCATATACATGAATGCGTTGCATGCACAGAAACGCGCTGCAAAAAGAAAACGCTGCATATCCACTCACACAGCGGAAGTGCCCAGTAGTGAGCTTTTCACCTGAGAGGCAGACAAGCGAGACACGTAATGTTCGTTGAGGGAAAAACCAACCCAGTCTCACGGCAATTCATGAAATAGTCACGAAACTTATTATTATGATTATAATTGCCCAACTTTTTTCGTGTTCTCCAGCACGATTTTCAAACCAATACATTTCAACTGGAATTATCTTTTGTGTCTAAGACATGTTTTTTCCCCATTAGACAGCGCATTAGCTGTGATGTTTTTGTCGTTCTTTTCTTCTGACAGTCCGGCATTAACCAGTTTTACTGTTATGGCCCGTCCACACTGATTACTATAGAGATCACTATACAGATGTGTGTGCCCATACTGATGAATGTTAGTGTGGTCTGAAAAGAAGGACATGCAGGACAATGGCGACCGGAAGATGTACTGTGATTGTAGCAAGTGTAGAGTGTAAAAGAGTACATCTTATTGTGACATTTTTTTGTATTTTTATTACACTGGCAGTGTTTGGGGGAAATTTGCGCTCGTTGCTACAGTCCTGCAGGGTCTGTAATGTTTTTGCGTGTACAGTAATATTTTTGTTTCGTATCCCAGGACACGAAACAATAATAATAACATTACGTTTTGTGACTATTTCACGTATTGCTGTGAGACTGGGTTGGCTTTTCCCTCAACTAACGTTACTTGTCTCGCTCACTGTTGCCCCAGCTCTTCCGTTGTGTGAGTGAATATGCAGCGTTTTCTTTTTGCAGCACGTTTCTGTTTATGCAACACATTCATGTACATGCAGGTCATTTGCCTCCGTCGGCCACTGTAGAAAACGCCCAGCAAAAACTGACATTTCTACTTCCACCTAATCAATCACAATTGTAAATCGGAGCGTAAACAGCAGCCTTATACCATGGAGTCTGTGAGCCTGTTCAAAATGTTCTCACCAGCAACAGTACAAAAAATTTGACGCAATAGAAATGAAGCAAAACAAAGCATAAATCACTTTAGTTGTAGTAGTACTAGGTGGCTCCCTGTGCAGTGTGGGTTCTATCTGGGTTCTCCGGCTTCCTCCCACAGTCCAAAAACATGTTGAGGTTAATTGGTGATTCTAAATTGTCCATAGGTGTGAATGTGAGTGTACTTGTTTGTCTGTCTCTAAGTGTGGCCTTGTGATAGACTGGTGACTTGTCCAGGGTGTCCCCTGCCTTCACCCTGAGTCAACTGCTCCAGCCCCCTCGCGGCCCTAGTGAGGATTAAGCGGTGTATAGATGATGGATGGATAGTACGCGGTGTCCTCTTGATTGAATGTGTCACTCTGGGCAACCTTCTAAAAATGGCAGTGGGCTGCATTTTAACAACAGATTTGGTTTAATCCAGGTATGGGGACCTCCTGGACCTCTGCGAAGAAACACCGCTAAATTTACAGTTTGATCAGGAGGAAGCCACCACTCTCCCAAAGTCAGAATTCATTTCCCCTGCGTCATTGGGACTCAGTATGCAATCATTGCACCTGGTCAAAAGTGATTACTGATGTGTACAAATACAAATAAAAAGAGGAATGTGTCTAAAAACAAAATTATTCCAACTTTATGGGCAACAGTGTATTAAATTTTAACTGTTACTTCTCATCATGCTATAGATTTACTGTCTACTACAATGGACAAGTAGATATCAAATAGTCTCTGATTATTTGTGAGTTTAAATATAAAATATAAAAAATATGTCCCATCTTTGAGTACACATTAATACAAAAATTGATACTGACTAAGTCAACAAGTGATATTTTCTGAACCATACGTAATTGCAAGACACAAGCATGCAAAACTAAACATACAGAGTACTTCTTAAAAAGAAATACTTGATCACGAAAATACAAAGAAAGTTATTTTTACTGATATTTCACAACTATCCATCCATCCATTATCTATACACCACTTCATCCTCACTAGCGTCATGGGGGGGCTGGAGTCTATCCCAGCTGATTCAGGGTGATTGCAGGGGACACCCTGGACAGGACACCAGTCTATCACAGGGCTACACTTAGAGACAGACAACCACTCACATTCACACCTACAGACAATTTAGAATCACCAATTAACCTCAACATGTTTTTGGACTGTGGGAGGAAGCCGGAGAACCCGGAGAGAACCCACGCTGCACAGGGAGAACATGCAAACTCCACGCAGAAAGATCCCGGGCGTCCTAACCAGGATGCGAACCGGGCATCTTCTAGCTGCGTGCCACCTTGCAGCCCACTCTGCATTGCAATTCATTCCAGTTGATCAGATTTGGGTACAGACTGGCTGACTGTGATGTGATTGTGTCTGGTTTTTTTTTCTTTCCTTTTGCACACTACATTATTGTCTTATTAATGTCTTATTTTATAGTTTTGATGTGTTTTTTTTTTACACTCTGGAAAGTAGTGAAAATAGAGAGAACCCATAGACTGTATAAAGGATGGACGTAGCTACCATGACGTCACCCGTTGGTTTCTGCACTGAGAAAATGAAGCCAGGGTTTTGCTACTTCCTGGTTGACATCTTGGATGTTTGGAGCCACTGACGCAAAAATTGTCAGAGGGGGGCGGAACCATAGGAGCAGCGATTGGTCAGATGTATTGAGAGGCAGGCCCTCTCTGCCTGCCCACATTTACCGCCTTCTGCTCGCTTCGTCTGCATCGTCAGTATTGATTTATTTTCAGATTGGCCACTTGATCTTTGAATTTGACTATGAAAACTAATAAGAAAAAAATCCTGAGCTGTCGGAATGTGGTATTTCGTGATCTGTGATCAATTCTTTTCCAATTCCAGTCTATGGGAGCCAGGGCTTTTTGGAGCCAGCAACTAGAGGACGTAGTGACATTGCAGGTTTTTGACACTTCCAGGTTGGCTTCATTTTTCAGGGCCGGTTGCTACGTCTATCTTTTATACAGTCTTTGAGAGAACCCCAAACTTTTGACAATCTAGTCATGTGACAGTTCTTTTCACTGTGCATTTACTGATGGCCTTACAACATTAACTGTAGACATTTTTAGATATTACTTTAGATATTGGGAAACTATATAAAGTCGATTACATTTAGGTATTTAAACATCACTTTTCAGCAAGGGATAGCTCAACTGACCCCTGGAGCTCAGATATCAGTAATGAAATGTAATTAGAGGTTACAGCCATTCCTTTCATTTATGTGATCTTTTTGAGACCATATAAAAGTTGTATACCCAGTTAGTAGTGGGGATTTTTTGACAGGTTTAGTAGAAAAGAACCTGTAACTGAGCTATACTGAGATTTTAGGACCCTTTGAAATTTGAGTCTCTGGAGGACTATACCACACCATCACAGCCATGGCACTGACACTGGTTGGATAATTAATCCTGATATATTTAGGAAATTATATTGTTGATTTTAAGATCAAATTGTCTTAACGAAGAAATCTCAAACAATGTCAGCTTTGCAATAAAAATGAAATCATTGGCTCAATGAGACTTAATGACAACAGTCATTAACTCCATAAAGACTCCTTTATGTTTCTGACAGGTGTCATGTCAGTGTTAAACATGCCCTTCAAATAGATTTAATACCCAATTAATGTACACCTGAACCATGACTGAGTTTGGAGAAATATTTCACAACCACTGGAACAGCTGTTTGTCTTTACTAAAAGTAGAATATGTAACTGTAATAACAAATTCCAGACTTCCTCACTGCAATCTATACATTAACGCATATGATATGATGTATTTAATGAAGTGAACAACTTGAGGAAAAATTCAATATAAGTCAAATAAAGTCAGTGCAGTTTTGGTGGACAATATAAAAACAATAAATAAAAAATTCTTTGCTTTTAATGAAACACAAATAACATATTACAGTATGAAAGGCTGTCCTTAATATACATCTATGAAGTACTTTTTTTTAACCTGTGTAAAAACATTAGGCTTTGAGTAATTATTACAATTTTAGATCTGAATCCTAACTCTCTAACACTTTATTCATAGTGCAATATCATATACAAACTGTCAGCATATAATGTTTTTTTGCCCGTCAGTTGCTGGCTTTAATTTAATCACCGGTTTCCTCTTTTAGAAACAGAACATCTTCAGCCTCTAAATCCTTTTACATTTAATATGGGCATGAAATGCGCTGTGGAGGAGATATCAGATTTTATAAGTGGCGGGTGTAATTTATTTGATGACTGCCCACATTTTCAGTCAGGGTAAAGTTGTACAGCATGATCAAAATTAGAAAGGCATCTGCAACTGTGGCCTCATGTGTCAGGAAACATAAACTGATGAGAGGCTTCTGGAGTGTATATAAGGTGGTCAGTGCGCCATTGTATGTGGCTGATTTCACCAGTAATGTGTGGCTTTTACACATACCCTGTTTTGCCACATGGCAGATACAGTGATGTGACTAACAAATTAATTTACAAAATGTATTGCTTGTACAGTAAGTGTTTGAAGAAGCCTTGTAGTGCAGATAGTTTGGCTTTGCTTAACTGTGAAATAGTTTTTGTGAATCACTCTGTTCTGTTCATGGGTGCTGATAGTTTTTAAAATGCATTGCTTCAAAGAGGATGCAATCCTGCATGCTGAACTTGCTGTAGCAGTGTAGAAGACCATTACTTCCAAAATTGAAAAGATTGTCTTTTGCTCCATAATTAGCTATCACGTTCATAATTTGTATGTCTAATGGAAATTGCAAAACTGCACTGAGGAGCCTCCAGTTTTTTAATTTTTGATTAATTTTTTTTTACAGAGCTCATTAGAGCATGTTCACATTAAGAATTATGTTTTACTTAACTGCGTAAGCTAAGTTGATTGTTTTCTTTTATCACTTCATGCACATGCATGGATCTATAACAATATATATTTTTTTTAAAAATCGATGGACCAAGATATCACAGATTTAAATTTTTGCAAGAATTGATGATGGTAAAAGTAACTTTAGAGTTGTAATGGTATCGCATCAATAACAGTTTAAGCTTCTCCTGCGCACTGCTCTGAAGGGCAGCAATGACAACTTTCAACAACTAATTGTACAGGCTTTTTCTTTTTTCTTTTTTTGCTTTGTCAATTTTAGTAGCAACTGGATATCAGCTAAGAGAGAAAACAAAGGAACAGCAAACACAATCCAAACAACGTATGTGGCGTTATTATAGCACTTATTGTTGGATGTGTCTATTAAAGCTTGGCAATAAAATTCCGCCTGTCATAGCTATAGTGCTCTATCTGGAATGTTATTTGTGTGATGGTAAAGTGATGGGACGTAAGATGACAAAGTGAGCCGACTTCAGCCTAGTTTGCTTAATCAAGTACAGTAAGTTAAGGTTTTGCATATATGCAAGTAGAACTTTTAACTATAGACTTGAAATGGTGCACTGTTATACAGTGTAGTTTTTAATGAATTCAGTACGAATACATGACATCTTAGAGCAAAAGTTGACAAAATGTATCCATGAATAGACCACTCCAACCTAATTTTAAGCAAAATATATTTTTGAAATATGTACAGTTCTGTTCTTCTCTGTTTTATAAGAGAATATCCTTGGTCAGAAAGCATTCATTATCCATGAATAAAATACTTCATTAATGCTATATAGAATACTGAAAGCAGTTTTATTAACTGTTTAATGGGAAGTGTTGACAGTGTTTGTTATTTATCCACATGTGTAACTAACATGAAAACGGGAAGTAACTATGGCTTTGAATGGTATATTTGCCTGTCACAGTCTAATGAGACCTTTTCAATTTCTCTCTCTCTCTTTTTTTTTTTTTAAATGTGGTGTCTTTTAAGACTCAATCTGACACTGCTATTACTCATAGGAAAAGCTATGCAGAACACAAAGCAAAAGTGCTATAAATACTTGACCAGACTTCATCCTCATGATTATTTTGAGGGAAGGAAAATGTTCATGCTAAGCTGTATGAGCTCTCTATCCAGTCAAATTAACTACTGCAGCTTCACTGAACTAATGTGTTGAACACTGGCTTTTCAAATGTGAATTTTAGAGATAAACTTGAGAGTAAATGATACAGAGTAGATACATTTAAAGAATGGTGAAATATTTTATTTAATTAATACATTGTTAGAAAACAATTCAACAGCAAGTTCATATTGTATGAACTCTGTCAAAAGGTTCCAGACAGATGTTGTCTCTTATTCAGCACTTTCAGTCTGGAAAAAAGCAAAGCAAAATACAGTTATTCAGCACATATTACCAACATTTGGGTTATCTATTTCATGGGGCTATGCATGTTCAATTATGGTTTCACCCACTACATAAATACTTACACATTTCATGCTGAATAATTTAAAGAATGGTATAAAGTATCTAAAAACAAGCACCCCAGGAAACTAAGTTAAAGTCTATATGACATGTGGTCACTTAAATTACCTTTCCAGCATCACGGCTCTTGGCTCTCAGCTTGTTGACCTGGGACTCAGCGATGTCAGCGCGCTCTTGAGCTTCCTCCAGCTCATGCTGAACCTTTCTGAGCCTGGACATGTGGGTGTTGGCCTGCTCCTCCTGTGAAGGATTCAGAGACGTAGTATGTTGTATTTTTACATACTCTATCATACAAGGAAGCTTTCTTTATGTCATTGTTGATTTCTGCCACCCTCCCATCTGTAAGTTTCAGCATGTCACTTACAGCCTCCTCAGCTTGTCTCTTGTAACCCTTCACTTTGAGCTGAAGCTTGTCCACCAGATCCTGAAGTCTTCGACCGTTCTTCTTGTCCTCCTCAGTCTGCAGAGATAAAAGATTATTACTGGTGAAATGTAGACTTAGAAAAAATAAATTATGAACTAACATGAGTTCTTAGGTCAATGAATACTTACCTGGTAGGTCAGCTCCTTCACTCTCCTCTCATATTTGCGCACTCCTTTGACAGCATCAGCTCCACGTCTCTGCTCACCTTCAACTTCAGTTTCAAGCTCACGCACCTGTCACAAGATGACAGAGAAGTTTAGTTTTGAAAAAGATGCATTGTCAAATTCATTGACTGTAAATATTTACAGCATATGCAGAGTTCATACCCTGGACTCCAGTTTCTGGAGCTGCTTCTTGCCACCCTTCATGGCCAGGTTCTCAGCCTCATCCAGACGGTGCTGCAGGTCCTTGACTGTGACCTCCAGGTTCTTCTTCATCCTCTCCAGGTGAGCGCTGGTGTCCTGCTCCTTCTTCAGTTCCTCAGCCATCATGGCAGCCTGAAACAGTTCAAATGTATTTGAAAATTAATTTGGATTAAAAAAACAAAAAACAAAACAGTAATGGTGTCTAAAATAAAATAAGGGAAGTTGTAAACTCACATCAGTGATAGCCTTTTTGGCTTTGTCTTCAGCATTTCTTGATTCCTGAACAGCATCATCCACCTCACCCTGGACCTGGACAAGGTCAGACTCCAGCTTCTTCTTGGTGTTCAGAAGGCTGGTGTTCTGAATGTTAAAGAGAGTCACCATCATTTCAATAATTCTTTGTCATGTAAAAAAAAAAAAAAAAGAAGAAGAAGAAGAAGAAAAAAACCATCTGTATCTTCATTAGATGGGAAAGCATTTTTTTGAAAACAAACAAAATCCAACCTGAGAGTGAAGCAGGCCGACACGCTCACTAGCATCAACCAGCTCCTGCTCAGCCACTTTGCGTCCTCTCTCAGTCTGTTCCAGAGCAGCTCTCAGCTCCTCAATCTCAGCCACCATCAGACCATTTCTGCGCTCCACCATGGCAACCTGTTCCTTCATGTCTTCCTGTCCTCTGACGGCATCATCAAGGTGCAGTTGGGCATCCTGGTGTTGAAAAAAGAGTTGATCCTAATTTCTTTACTCTGAAACATTTTTTGTTGTAAATTCAGCAATCATACAAAAGTCACCTTGAGCTGTCCCTGGACGTTCCTCAGTTGTTTCTGGGCCTCAGCAGCCTGCCTGTTGGCATGGCTCAGCTGAATCTCCATCTCATTCAGGTCTCCCTCCATCTTCTTCTTGACTCTCAGGGCATCATTCCTGCTCCTGACTTCAGAATCAAGATTGCTCTGCATGGAGTCAATCACCCTCTGGCTGTTCCTCTTCATCTGCTCCATCTCCTCGTCCTTCTCTGCCAGCTTCCTGTCAACCTCACCTTTGACCTGGTTCAGCTCAAGCTGAACACGGAGAATCTTGGCCTCCTCATGCTCCAGGGTGCCCTTTGGATAGTATAAACAATTGGCATTAAAAACCACCTTAAATAATTCTGAATGGTCCTGGCATTTGATTTGACTTAATTCAGTGAGTAAAAATACATTTTAAAAATGCATTACCTCAGCTTCCTCTAAAGCTGTCTGAATTTCAGACTTCTCAGTCTCCACAGTCTTCTTGGCTTTTTCCAGCTCATGGATGCTCTTTCCAGTCTCCCCAATCTGCTCAGTCAGATCAGAGATCTCCTCTACAGGAAAACAATGCCAAACAATTCAATGTACACTTCTTGGAACAAGTGTATATCAGTATTAGAGCTGGTATGTTATTAGCAGTAGTAGTACACGTAAAATGAAAATATACTTAATAGGTGTCAAAGGAGAAAAGTGGGATGATTTTGCCTGTAAAAGTTCAAGTTCAAAATTTTTAAATGATTATTATTTTGTATGTTTTTTTTTGTTTGTTTGTTGTTTTAAATCAGAGGTCCAGGTCATCATTCAGGCTTGTGAGCTTAAATTGCAAAGGTCAGAGAATAATCCAATTTAAAGTTTTAATTTTAGGGAGATTGACATACGCTGCAGGTTCTTGTTCTCTCTCTTCATGGTCTCCAGGTGATCCAGAGCCTCCTCATAGGAGTTCTTCATCTTGAACAGCTCAGTGCTGAGAGAACGAGCCTCCTTCTGGGCTCCCTCCAGCTCTGCCTGGCCCTCCTCATACTTTTGCTTCCATTCTGAAAGGACCT